CCCAAGCGTGATTTTGTGAGGTTTTAAACAATTTGTAATTTTTGTTCAAAATAATCGTTCACGATGGTCCCATAAATTACTGTACTAGTACAGTTGAGGAATGGGGTTGCGCTGGTGCGGTTTAACTTGTGTTTAAACACTATTTCTTTCTAATTTACATAGTTACAAAAATAATGACGTAACTATAAAGTATCGTTTTCCACTGGAAGTTTGTTGCTGAAGCTTTTCGCAGACTTGAAATCGAAAGTTACAACTCCTGCTTGACCCTACATCCGGGCGGAGTTCCCCCTCCCCTCAATCTCGCCACGCCCCGCCACGCCCCTTGCTGTTCGGTTTGCTTTTAGTGTCCTTGAAAAATGGATGCACCTCTATTCCCCAGACGTTTTACAATAATTACGCCACTATCTTATCAGAACACTTTCATTTTGATTCATATTCATTTAGTTTATTTTTTTCAGGGTTGAAATACATTTTGCAAATGAGTACGGAAACCTTTTTAACGTGGTGTTGGTGACCAACAGATTTTAATTCTTCCCTAAAGAAGAGGAAAAGTCTAACAAAATATATGCCGCCCAAGACTGTAAATTATTCAAATAAAAGAAGGGTGCGGCGCTCTTTAAAGGGTGTGTGAAATTAATTTTTCTTGTGAAAATATTTTGTGCAACTTTCTACTTCTCTTAATTATTGTATGAAACTATTTGGCATCCCTTTTTGGTTAAATTATCGAAACGTGCGCTTATTAAACACTTAAAATGTTCTATGCTTTTCCGGACAACTGAGGGCGCTGTTGCTGTGATGTCATTCCAGGAAGACACGGTTCAGTTGAGGGGTTTGCTGTTCAAATTTTGAAGTAGTAACCCAAACATTGACTCATTGGAAACATCTGTGAGAAAATTTTGCTCACTGGTTTCACCGCCATGTGCTGACACAGCAACGAATCATCACAGAGAAGGCATTTTACGACAGCTGAATATCCCAATATGCTGGCTTCTTTTGGTGCTAAAACTAAATGTAACATTGAGGTTTCTGCCTGAAATGACATCACTCTTTAGCTCGAGACTATTTGCATTAGCATAAAAACCAAAAGAGCACCAAAATACCGTGCAAAACAAACATTGAAAATAGGTTATTTTCAAGGAATGCATTAAAAATATATTACATTGCATGGCCCTTAAATTTAAAAAGGGGAATAATGGTTGCGGTGGTATAGTTTTCCCGAAAGAAAATTTAAAAACAGTCAAGAACCACTCCCGCAGCAAAACGCAAACTAGCCTGTAAGTTTGTCTAACCAGTAACCACCGACCTCCCCCAGCCGGGGGCCCCCGGCTCCCCCGAGAAAAAAAAGGTAAAAATATCAACACTCATATTTCACAAAACCGAAACAGACGTAAAGAAGTTTTAATAAAATACATACGAAGGTGGTGAATCTGATCAGAAATTCATCGAATTTCATGATCTGTAATTTATTAATTTTACGAGAGACTGAAATAAATATGCGAAGCGACATGCATGGTAAACACTCAGAATAGTCTCTGTCACCAGCCGAATCGGTTGGTCTCATCATTTTATTGTGCATAGTACGAACGTGAAGCGACCGCCTCATTCACGGAGACTAGCAGTGTGATATATCGATCTCAATGCACACATGCAGAGCACCCACTCACTTGTATTGTACACAGGTGCTGAGTCTGTGCTGGGGAGAAGGTCGTGTGTACTACTTCTAGGCGTGTCCCCTGTACCCTGTTTTGTCGCTGTTGACACTATTTTTGTGTGTTACATTGAGTTCGTGTTGACACCCACGTCGTACGTCCACATGGCGGGTTATCGTGTCCAAAGGCCGTAGTTCACGTTTAATTCACTGCTAATGTTGGTTGATAGTTTGCTGTTCGAGAGATAACGTTGTCAAGTTCTGGAACGGGACGTGCTTTGTCTGTGTGAGTGTGAGTGCAGGACTGGAGAAATAAAACAGTGTGTTCTGTGTCGCGTACCAACCAAGTAGCAAACCCGTCCGTACACGGTAGGTATCTGTTTCTTGCTCAATCATGGACGTAGATCATGTAGATAGCCCAGGTTGGACGACGTCTTCATTGCATTACACAACGGGGTCCAACCTGGGCTAGGAGTCCGTAGTAAAGTATGTTCGTGTGCGCTGGAATGATCATGATGACTCACGTTAACAACATGACTAACTTGGAAAATATTGGGTTTATTCAGTTAGTCATGTGTTTGAAGTAAATTTGATGTTAAGATTTTGTGGATTTTATACCTGATACAAGTGATAGGCCCTACTTTATTATAAAATTATAATTTTCCTTAATTAATTTAGGCCCTATTATTTATTCCATGAACCGTACCACTACCACTACCAGAGTATTGTCACATCAGTGGTGCACCTGGCCCCATAAATGTGGCCAATTTACTGGACTACCTCCGTAAATATTAGGTCCATCATTTTAAATTGGAATGTTTAAGTAAACCTTTTTTTTTTTTCATCATGTGTACATTAATCGTCTAAAGATACTATGTTTTAGATAAGATGAGATTTTACACCAATTTTAATTGAGATAAGGACATGTTGTTTGTGATTGATGTAAGTTTTATGTATTTATATTTACTTGACTTGTAATTTACTAAGTGTCTTTAATGAGCTGTCCAACCATATGTAATTGCCTTTTTAAGGATAAATAAAGTATTTTGAATTGATTTGAATACAGGCCACACTTCCACCATGTACAAAAACATGTTGAACTTTGTCAAATTTTGATTTTGTCGGGGTTCTCGATCCACATGGCGGCGTATGAGGGCGTGCTCCTGATGAGTAGGGACGGCGCACTATTACACGGAACACGGACCATACAGAATCCCGACTTGGGTCAAGTCTGGGGGGGGGGAATTAGGATTGATCCCCCCAGGTTGTCAGTTTTTTGGAAAAAATGTTGCAAGCTGACGCCACTTTTTTCTTCCAATGAAGGTCATTCATTGCAAAAATGGTGATAAGACATGCTTCAATTCCAGGACTGAGAAACATTTCCAATTTTGTTAGGAAATTCAGAATTTTTTCTAGTAGGCCTATTGACTCTCCATAGAGTTTGTACACAATTGCCAAAATAGCGTCAGTTTTTTAAGTTTTGTTGGTCCCACAATTGGATTGTGGGAATATGCCCAAAGCACTTCAAGAATTAGAAGCCACCTTTTCGTTAGCCTTCTACTAACATTGTGATTTTTCGAGGGGTCGGTACGCTATGGTTTTTTTGCAATGCACTTTGATAGACAAAATACCTTTGTTTGGAATTCCAATTTCTGAAACACAAATCCATCCCAAAAAAGATTGCCATGTTAATCCATAACTCTCAAATGTTTTGGAACCATAGACATTTAGACCATGGGACAATTTTTTTGGGTGGAAAACCTGAGTTTTTACTCACCAGCCTCGCGTCTCCGATCTGACGAATGCGCGCGTCATGTTCAAGTGTGTGTTTACGTACGTTGCGCGAGCGCTGATCTTCGCATGACCTCATCAGGTCATCAACTCTACATTTGGGATGGGCTCGACCATTTGGGATGCAGGGGGCGTGTATGCTTTGCATCGCCCAATTTTCGCTCTACATGTAGGCCTACATTTATCAGAAATTTGGGAAAGATTTCCATATACGAAGTTCACTAATTTTCCTCTGTATTGACTAACAAGCCCCCAGATAGCAATTTCATGTCATCAAAGTCAATTTGAGCAGTGAGAAAATACAAGCATTTTCTTAGAAAACACTTAGAATTTTTCAGTCCAATCTCATAGGGTTTGTACACAGGGTGTTGAGTGAACTTCGTAGATGGAAATCTTTCCGAAATTTGTTGGTGCATGTAAAAAGCTCCATGTTTCAAACAAGGGCAAGGCTTGGAAGACTACCCGGTAATAAAGACTTAGTACTGGCACATGACTGGTAGTTTTGAGATCCGCACAATAACATTCATTACGCATGGTGATTGTCTACCCAAATGTTATGGCATGCATTTTCAAAACTACCAGTGTAACGTTACATATCAGTTTTCAGCCAGTTTCGTGATGTGTGACTAGTCACACATGAATACCGGCACGGCTAAGGTCACAGTCGACTGTGAGTGAATATGCAGCAGTTGATTGGATGCACCACTGGACAAGGCAATCTGCATAAAATTGAGTAAACACCATTTGGAAATAAAGTTCAAGTATCCTGTCCTGTCACCCAACCTACATCAAGCTGTTGTCAAGATTCATTGATTTTGGTATACCGGTCAGCACGTATCGTGTACATGCACCGGTGTGCGTGGATCAAAAGTTAGAAAAGCCAAAAAGGTTCAGTGATGTGTGTCAGACTATAGTGGATTTGTTGTGCCGTGTACTACAGGGTGAGTAAAAAAAACGAAACCCAAATGTCGGAACTATTGTTTTATTGAAGTTCTGCATGTACATGTAGCACTTTCAAAATCTAGTATATGAAAGCCCAATTCATCATGAGCTTTCTTTTAGTACAAGAATCATTCAAATCACTCATGTACTTTTCAAGTTACGGAATTTTAAACACAACCACCGTTTTAAGGTTCTGTCCACGGATCACCATAAAGGCGTGCGTTCTTTCAGCAAAACAAAAACAATTCACACACATCCCTGTGTGATTTGTTTTCATTTTGCTGAAACAACACTGAACTTTTTTGTGATCCGTGGACAGAACCTTAAAACGGTGGTTGTGATTACAATTCTGTAACTTGAAAAACTTCTACACGTATATGAGTGATTTGAATGATTCTTGTACTAAAAGAAAGCCTATGAATTGGACTGTCATATATACTAGATTTTGAAAATACTACATGCAGAACTTCACTAAAACAATAGTCCCAACATTCAGGTTTCGTTTTTTTTTTACTCACCCTGTACATGTATGCATACAGATGACAGACATTTTGAATCACATGATTTTTACCTCGCATTAATGTCTCTGATTGTTGTGTCTGTTTTTCTTTTCTTGCAGACATGGCAGCTCCACCGGCCATTGGCTTTGAGGGCCTCCAAGAAGACCCTCCTCCCAAGAGCGAACATATCGGTAGGTACAGAGCATGGAGTTGATTCTCCCTTAGCCTCCTGGATCTTTCAAAATTCGCTAGGTGGTTCTGGAGGATTTTACAGGAAATGTACAGCCCAGCCACTATCCACTCTGTTCACAAGTACCCCCTCACCGGCAAAGCAAGTTCAGTTGGGGGTGACCGACCGACGCCATCTTACCTGACTGCAATTCATTGCCGCGCGGCGAGGCCACTGCGTGTGCATAGTACAAATCCCCCGGTGTACGTGCGTCACACACAAGGAACGGTGCGCGTCAACCAACGAAATATCCCGCCCATGGGACGTCGTTGCTAGGTAAAAGGGCGTCCTCTTAGCAGTTCACGCTCACTTTTGATGCAAATGTCTTGGTACCAAACACTGATTAGTATAGTCATAGGCTCCCTTGTTTGAATTTACCCAATTATCTGCATGAATGATTTTAAATGGAAGTTGAGATCAAATGTTTTCATTTTATTATAGTCATTGATTTGCATGGGCGTCGCGAGGGGGGGGGGCAAGGGGGGCACTTTGCCACCCCCCTGGAAAAGCAAAAAAAAAGAAAAAAAAAGAGGCGCGAAGTCATAGTGGTGTAAATTTAATGGGTTGGGAGGGGGGGCAAAATGTCCCTGCCCCCTCTAAAACTGATAAATCGAAAATGTGTTGAGAAATACAGGTATTTTTTGGCAAAAATATGTTTTGCCCCCCTCTAGAAAAAATCCTTGCGACGCCCATGTTGATTTGCAATATGTTGATATGTTATTGCCCTTGACTGGATAAGCCTAGTCAGGACTCAAAGTAAATATATGCAAAAATGTAGGACGTTACATGTCTTGAATATGGTGATCTAGATGTACTGTATTCCCCTACAATCTCGAAGGCTTTTGAGGTCAACGTTCACGCTCTATAGATTGCTTCACTATGGGCTTGATTTCCCCCTGAAAAGTAGGGTACAACTAGAGACTGGGTACCTGCAAAATTGTGGATTTTTTTGTTAGGATTCTGGAATGTCCGAATGCTGGTGGCAGTTAGGGTCAGGCATCAGCATAGATTGTTATCAATAATGCAAGGTGTCCTGGTGTAGGAATGTCAAGGCTAGGGCTGCTAGATTCACCGTTTGACACGTGACAGAGTGTACTACTGTTGTGTTTGTTGTGTGAAGTAGTCCATTTTGTAAAATGTCCAAGGGGGTAAAACCGTACCCAAAGATAAAGCAGAGCGCACAGTTTGCCCCTAAGATTGTACAAATCCAGTGGACTATATCGCAGCAGATTTGTTTTGTTAAAAAATGAAATATAAGGATTTGGGGGTTCATCAGCTGGCGTTCTTTTGTTTTAGAAGTCCCATTGCTGTGGGCATCGATGATTAAAGCACAACAATGTAAAAACATGCATGCACGTACATCAACATTAATATATTTCCTATGGTACATTCAGGTACATGTGTACCTCTCTCACACCAATGCTATTTCAACTGTAACTTGTAAAGCCAAAAACTTCACGATGTGATGTTGAAATACCACTATATGAAATGTATAGTATGTAACCACTCAAGCAAACAGAAAAGCCATTATAATTACTAATGAGAAATAATGATAAATGGACTGCCAGCGCTTCCATGGTTTAACTAAGTCTAGTGTCATTCTACATGTATGCATCAATGGCCTGACCTGATCAACTTAATATGACAATTCACCCTGCTTTGGATACATATATGGATGCCTTTAAGGGAGGATACAAGAATATATTGCACGAGCTGTAACAAGATTGCACTCGAGTTGAAGATGAATGCACTCTTTTCATAGCAAGTCCAATATTATTATTATTTATATCAGGTTGACTTGAAGGGAAACAAATAAATTCAATGTCTGCTTTCCTCACTTCCACATGACATTACTGGGTATGCCTAGAACTTCGACAAATTTTTTTTATACGTGCTATGTAGCATATATGCTTTTCCAGCGTCTCAAAATCACATAGATTCTTATTGGCCAGATAAGTTCGCGGAAAATTTATTGACTTCTTGGTTGCAGCTTTCAAAGTATTTTTTGCACCTTTCTTTCTTAAGATGTTGTTGACTTTTTCTGTGCTTTCCTTTGCTGGAGGCTGCCTCTTTTTTTTGACAAACAGTGCATGTGACTGCTGGCTCTTTTGAGTGGTTATCAACTGTGAATTTCAAAGCTCTTGATTGAGCGGAAACCAGTGAAATGTGTGTCGATACCATAAAATATCCGGATGACTGTGCAACAAGAAATCAATATTGTGTAGTCATTTGGGTACTTTTCCCGAAAGTATGTCTACTCTGATTTGTTTTTACTACTTGGAAGCCAGCTATAAATAATTAATAATGATACATATCGTCATAATACATTTATAACTTACGCAAGATTAGTTTAAGACTTCCTGTATACCTTGTATATTTTTTTTTTATTCTGATACTTTACACACATGTACCGGTAGTTTCCTTTTCTTAGGTTTTTCTTTCAGTTTCAGCACCTTAACTCTTTCAGTGCCCGCGAAATTTGAAAGGTTTAACCCTAAAGTGCCCAACTTCGAGCGTTTTTTTTTTAATTGTTCAAAATTCTGTAAAAAAAAAGTAAATAAGTTTCACTCACTAAATTTGTTGTTGTTGCTCTCTGGTATATCCTTGGTATATTGGAAAGTCAATAGTAGTCACGTACTTAGTGATACACCCTGAAACACTGTCCTGCACACTGGGGAGTTCCGCACTTTTTGCAGAAAATACAAGTCAGTGCTGTGCCCTCTCGCAAGAACTCGAATGAAACAAATAAATACAGGTCATACCTGAATGAAAAATGATATTATTAGAAAGAGCGAGAGCGCCCCCTTGTGATAACATGCTTACTCTACCTCGTACATGTACGACTTTGGCACTGAAAGAGTTAATCAAACGGCAGCGAACTAAAAAATTATACGGCAGGATTGAGGGCATGCATGCGTACGTGTACATATGCTGTCATATACCAGTACACATGTACCTTTTCCTGTGCTCAGATATGCTTAATTAATTAACATACCGAAGGATTTCAGGCAGATTTGTCAACATCTGCCATCATATTGTACTATTTTGTTTCGTCCATTCACCTGACGAGATCATGAGTTCCTTGTGTGTTTAAACCAGACCTTTGGAATCATGTCAGTCTGACAATGGAAAATGTGTGTTTTCGGGGCGGACCCCCATTAAAAGATAATTATCACTATGATCAGACTGTCATTGTCAAAAAAAATTCTTAAATATTTTGGTAGCCAAGAGCTGAATTTATAACAGGCATTTTCACCGCGGCAAATACTACAGTTTGTAAAACAGTGTGCATGCATAAGTACCTAATACATGTGCAAATAAAGTGCATTTAAAAAAAAGTACATTGAAAGGCTGCAAGGTATATGATGACACATCTGGAAAGTTCCTAAAATTGCCTTCACAAAGAATATTGGCTATTTATTAATCCTATCCCCACCTGGTTGTTGAAAATCCCTTTTGAGTTACCTGGTACCGGTATACGGATGTTTGAAGGATGACCGTATTTGTACTCAAATAAGGGCGGTACTTCCCAGCAAGTATTTCATAATTATACGGGTATCGATGGGAGGGCTGTCACCACGTTATTGGGATGTTTGTATTGTTCTGAGGCAAATTAGGACCGAGTTGCATGTATGGGGACTTTCTGCTGTCCCTACAGCATCGTCGGTCCCCATAGTACATTGTACCATGGGATAACTCATGTGAAGTCCCCTCCCCACAACTACAAAACAAGTACATGACTGTACGCTCCCTTGTGTGTTGAAATACCAAACAAACAAAAATCCTTTTTTTTCCTCTGCAAAGTGATGGATTTCGAAGGAACTGGTATGCATACCTCCTTGCAAAAGTACATGTATTTAGGGAGTTGAGGTTCAGGGACGTGCAACCTTACATTAGTACTCAAGGCTTGTGAGGACATGTCCATGACACTTACCCATAAAATTACCAATGACTTCCGTTATGACATCCTGTGCTTGTGCAATATGTGACTGATCCAAACGATGATACATCAACTGGCTCTTGAAGGTTCCCATTCACCCTCATTTTTTTTGTGAGGTAGGGAGTTGTATCAACCTCTTCCCCAGTGCTCACTTTATTTCCAACTTCGTTTCCAATAGTAAGCCCTGGATAGGAAACTTTCTTCCTGTATCCTGATTCGATACCGCAATTGGCTAGTAATGGATTTTTATCGTGTTCTTGGTGCTATTATTCCCAACATGCAGTACCTGTTTTCGCAATCATTCGTCCACGCCTTCTCGAAAATACTTATTTCCTTTCCAATTTGCTCATATTAATATAAAATATGATACTGCATGTTGTATCGATAAGATCGTAACAGTTTAATTTTCAAAATCGTGTTTTCGTAACTCACGCCATGTTTACCCCAGACACCGCATACAAAAACAAACACTAATGTAAAGCATATCTAGGCACCAGACTGTTCCTCATTTGCATGCGTGTTAAAAAATCTTACACATATGCAAATGATCCAATACCAGGGTGAGAGAGCAGGTAGTGATGGGCGCATACTGAACATTCGACACCCTGGGCACGAGGTTGAGAGTTGTATTGCCTTGGGCAACATTTTTGATTCCCAGGCATAAAACCGCATGGCCTTCACCTCCAGGGTTACTGGAAGTACATGTATACTGAAAAATAAAAAAATCTCAAAAATGAAAGCATTTTAAAGTAATACTAATTCGACACATATTCGTGAATACCAGTACATGTAATATAGTAAACTCGAAAAATGTAAAAATGACGTCATTGCCGAAGAATGCGCCCTCTAGTGCCACATATCAAAAAGTTGCATTTATTTAAATTTAAAAACCATTTGTCAAAATTTTACCAAACTGTCTGTAAACATTTATAAAACATTATTTGCGAAGTTTCGTAATGATGATGTCATCAGACCAGAAGTTATTGTAGTGAGACTTTCGAGACACGGTTTTTGTTTTGAAT